ACAACCACACCACATTCCAGAAACCACGCCACATTCAGGCAGGTACACTTCACTCACAACCACACAACTGAGACAACACTGCACCCCAGCAACTACACCACACCCTGGTAACTACACCCTTGCAACCATGCCCCAGCCCCAGCAACCACCCTATACCCCTCCAATCACACCACACCCAAACAATAACACCACACCCCAGCAACAATATCGCTCGAACAACGACACTGCACCTCTGCCAACACAAAACCCCAGCAACCACACCACACACCTGCAATCACACAACACCTCAGTAACCATGCCACACTACATCAACTACACAAGACCCCTAGCAACAGCACTACTCCCTAGCAACCACACCGCAGCAACCAAACTCCAGCAAATACACCCCAGAAACCATATCCTAGCATTCACACCCCAGAAGGCAAATCACCCGCAAACACAACCCGGGAACCACTCCTAGCAACCGCACCCTAAGTAACCATACTCAAGGAACCACACCCCAGCAGCCATACCCAAGCAATCGCACCCCAGAAACCTCACCCCAGCAATCATAATTAACCCTAGCACCCTTAGTGATCACTTCCCAGCAACCACATCCCAGTAATCACACCCCCAGCAACACACTGAACCCTAGCAACCACACTACACCCCAGCAGCCATATCCCAGTAAACACACTCCAGAAACTACACCCTAGGAACCACACTTCAGCACCCACACCCCATCAACCACACCCTAGCAATCACGCCCCATCAACTACACCCCAGCAATCACACAACAACAAACACATCCCAGCAATCACACTCCAACAACTATACTCCATCAACCACACCCAAACAACTGCACACCAACAACCACACCCCAGCAACCACACCCCAGCAACCACACACCAACATGAGACGCCACAAACAATGCTCAAGGTTAAAACTTGTTCATTATTTTCTCTCGCTGTCTTCCTTCCACGACCTCGAGCCATCAGAAAATAATCAGATAAAAATAAAATGTTAATAAATAACAAACGAAATAACTACATTTTCTCTTGTCAGTTAAATTAGAGTCGTTCATTATAGTGTCAAGTAGGACGCCCGACACAGCATTTGTTTATCAACACAGCCAAACCCGACACTTATTGGTCCCATCACGCTTGCAAAACATGAAAATTGCCTCGCTACTTCTATTCCTTAAGGGGAAAAAAAATGATCGAAATTGACGTCTGAATGTCGACTGATATGAGAGAGGACGCGCCGAGGTATTTCTGAAAAGTTTGCTTATTGGTCCCTGGTAACTGTACTGGGTGTCGTGCCTGACAGTGCTATGGGAAAACTCCCTTGTTTTTTGGTGGAGGGGAGGTAGGGGGTAGATGCAGACATAAGTTTATATCATTTAGCAAAATAGGATACATAAACAGTGTGCTGCTACCCTATTCTATATGGCAGATGAGTAAAACACATGTACAACAGTTAGATATCTTTAGTGTCAAAACGTTTCGCTGACACAGAAAGCTTCGTCAGTCGAATATGTAGGTGACTAAACACGGAGTCAGCACAAACAATGACAAAGTAAAGAGGATGTCATCAGTTTATCAGTCATGAAGCAGTAGTTTTGAAGTAGTCAGTCCCACATCTTTTCCTTTCCACTGCTTCTGACATCTTCATGTATTCTACTGAAGAAGCCCACTGTGTATGTGAAACGTTTTGACAATAAAGATACCCTGGCATGCTCACTGTCAGGCCATATTGTTATTTCACCATGAAACAGTAAAAGAAAAACATATTTGAGTTTTGTCATTTATTGTACAGGAGAATGTAGTTACAGAGGTTGCAGTAACACGCTATCGGTCCAGTGTTTGAAATGGCTTCAGGAGCTGATGCCCATAGGCGATATGAGTCATGAATACCGTCTGTCGATAAGAGCATTTTGTGCACTCTAGAACTCGCAGAACTTGCGATCTTGGCTTAAATAGCAAAGCTCATCTTGCCATATAGGACAAGCGAAAAATTGTGTATGCAATAATTTCGCCAAAATCATTCTGAACTTAACGAAAAAAATATATTTAACTGTGTTTGTTTAGTATTAAATTATCGTAAACAAATCTAAAATATATTTAGTTGGGTTAGGCTAAAATAAATTGTTCTTTTTATAATAAGGTTAGGAGCAAAATTAAAAAAATTTACATTAAAATTAATGAAAAAAATATATTTTTAAAAGTATAAGAGAAAATTTTAGAAAGGACTTAATTTTAAATGAGTTCTTGCTAATTGACCAGTTTTACATATATATATATATATATATATATATATATATATATATAATATATATATATATATATATATATATATATATATATATATATATATATATATATATTTATATATATATATACATATATATATATATATATATATATATATATATATATATAATATATATATATATATATATATGTCGTGCCGAATAGGCAGAACTTGCGATCTTGGCTTAAATAGCAACGCTCATCTTGCCATATAGGACAAGCGAAAATTTGTGTATGCAATAATTTCGCCAAAATCATTCTGAACCTAAAGAAAAAAATATGTTTCACTGTGTTTGTTTAATACTAAATTATTGTAAACAAATCTAAAATATATTTAGTTGGGTTAGGCTAAAATAAATTGTTCTTGTTATAATAAGGTTAGGTAAGTTTTCTAAGATTCTTTTGATGCAAAATTATAAATTTTTACATTAACATTAATTAAAAAAATATATCTTTAAACGTATAAGAGAAAATTTTAGAAAGGAATTAATTTTAAATGGGTTCTTGCTAATTGACCAGTTTTGCATATTCGGCACGACATATATATATATATATATATATATATATATATTATATATATATATATATAATA